GTGTGGTGTTGCACTTTGGAGCGCACAAACAAAAGATCAGAAGGTTGCTTTATTTAGAACTTTCATATTATGCTCAGAAAACACTTTTTATGTGCGGTGTTCAAGTTACTTCTGTGTCAAACTAAAACAGTCATTGTGGCAAAGCATTAAAAGTCTCTCTGCACTGCATTTGGTGGTGAGCCAACTTAGTTGTTTAAAGGTTAGACAAACGCATTCTTTATCGATCACAGCAAAAACTCAACCCAGGCAAATATTGGGTGTAAACATTTTCCATTTTGCTTTCAATGATTCTGTTTTTATCCACATGTGCTGGACTTTACAGCAAATTTCATACTATAAGTCAGCACTTCATCAGGAAATCTGTCATGCTTTCTTATTAGTCTTATAGGTATTTACTGTAAATTCCTCCATCTCCAAAAACATTGTAGCTTTTGGTGAGCTTTCAGTCTCACTTAAGCTGACTGCTTTATAATCAGAATCAGAAAGGGTTTTATTGCCAAATGTTGAGCCGTATTTGACGTATAGACATATTTGGTGTATTCCAGGCTTTAGCACTCAGTATTTCTTGTATTTCAGAGACACAAGTCTCAAAAGCTCAGCATAATAAACCTAATACAGTATAACTCTGCATGTAGCTACATGATATGAGAGGTGAGAAAGGGCATTCCCTGCTCAGTGTCCACATACTGGCTTTAAATGATATTACATGATCTTTACATGGCAGAGTAGAGCTTGTTCAGTTGTCAGTGAGATGGATGTTGTTGGTCTGCAAATTCAGTGGCTGATATGATTTTTACAGTTGGGAAAAGGTCAGCAGATTCATCTCAATGACAACAGAGTAGATCCATACACCGACGAAGACAGCTTGATATCGAAGAAAGTTCACGAAAATGAGTGAGTCTTAAGTTAGAATTATTTTATCAACCTTAGGAGGAATAATGAACTTTTAAGGATTTGACAGCTCAAGCTACAGCGCTCTAACAACAAAGTCCAGTAAGACGCTTTTAGAAGTATCTATTCTTATTCCTTGCTGTATTTTCTGTTATCCACACACTGTTCCACTGGTGGATGCTACAAACATGGCTGAAATTCCACAGAAGTGCAAGTAATTGAGAGATAAAAGCTAAAAACTAAACTTTATCTGACACATTGTTTTTCTACTCCTGTCTCTGTGTGATGACAGTGATAGTGGATATGCTTAATACAGTAAAATACAGATTCTACAAGTCTCACTTAGTTCATGAAACTACAATCAGAAAAAGGCTGAACAAGTATGGCTTATTTGGAAGGAGGACACCTCCAAAGAAGACCATGGCAGGACAGCTTAGGATTGCAAAGCTGCGTATGACAAAACCAATGTGGAGATATTTGGATGATGAAAACCAAACACAGCTTATCAGCACAAACACCTCCTACTAAGGCATGGTGGTGGTTGGGTGAGTGTTTGGGCTTGCCTTTCAGCCGCAGCTCCTGAACACCTTACAGTCACTGAATCAACCTGAATCAACCATGAACTCCTCTGTATACTGAGGTATTCCAGAGTCAGATATGAGGCAGTCTGTCTGACAGCTAAAGCTGGGCTGAAAGTAGGTCATGCAACAGGACAAAGATCCCAAGCACAAACAGAATGGCTCAAAAAGAAATGAATCAAGATGCTGCAAGGGCCCAGTCCAGACCTAAATCTGGCTGAAGTGCTGTAGTGAGACCTTAATAGAGCTGCACCTAAATGAATGCTGGGAAACCTCAATGAACTGAAGGAATCTTGTAAAGAAGAATGGGTCAAAATTCCTTCACAACATGAGCGACTCATAAAGTTATGCCAGAAACCATTACTTGCAGTTACTGATGCTAAAGGTGGTTCTGAGTTATAATCAATCATGGGGATGTACTTAATTGTTTTTCACAGGAGTGCATGGAGTTTTTTTGAAAACCTTCACATGACTTCACTTTCCAGTTTTTGAGGGACAGTTGGTTTAAAGAATCAGCAGCTAAGAGAGCTTGACTGAAGCAGAGGATAAACTGAGGGGCTCCACCAGGTCCCAGTATAACATAAATGAAAAGTTTTGCAAGTAAAGCTGAAAGAGCAATAAACATGGAGATGGAAATGAGCATGACAGGTCCCCTTCAACTGTAATGTGGAAGCTCTGATGAATTTGCTTCCAGTCCGTGTGTGCCTGCGTGCCTTTGCTTTGCAAAGAAGCAGCAATGCTTTACTGAGCTCCTAAGTACATTCCATCAAGCCCCATAACATCAGTCCTGTGCTGTTCAGCTCTATCAGGAAGGAGCCCTTGTGCATCCAGAGGCCTCTCATCCTACTCTGCGTATGACACCCCCACTGAGCCACCTGGTGCAGAGACCCTGTCATCTTTTATACGACTTCAGAGTTAGCCCTGCTGCTCTTTGCTGACAACATGCTTACCATTAAATATTAACATTACCATTAACGATCACAGGCAAGTCCCCTTGATAGGAGGGCGCGTTTGCAAGTGCACACACGCGGGCATGCATAATATACCAGTGCATGAGTGCCTGCCTGCACACACACACACACACACACACTTTTAAGCTAAATCAATTACACATCCAAGACAGTGTGTACCCTCAACTCCTGACAGCATTCCTTTTGCACAGTGCTGCACCTCTACATGACACAATTTGCTTGACAAGGATGGGAAATATAATAATAACAGAACCACAAAGAGGTAATTAAATTTCTAATTTCAGGACTGTAGGTTTTTATCTTGATTGTTATCAACTGTTTGTACCTTGCTCTTGACTAGAGAACATAATTTATGGATTTGTGATTAATAATCCTCTGATTAGCATGCAAAACCATCATTAAGTGAAGAAGAGCGCTTCAAAGGAGCCATGTATTGTTTGTAACAATGACAAGAGAAGAGGACACGAGCGTGGGCATGCAATTTATTTATACCAAACCTCTCAAGTATCAGTTCAGACTCAACATCTTTGATGGTGACAAAAAATTGTTGTGATTTGGATTTCAGATCATTAAGGCCTCATGTTAAGACCACAGCACGCACAAGAGGTGATGTTAGTGGAGATTCTTATAGAGAAGGAATGGACAACTTACCATCCGCTAACAACAGGGCTGTTGATGGAGAGGAGAGAGGGAGGAAGAGGAGGAAGAGGGGAGGGAGGAAGGCATGGAGAAAACAGAAAATGCAATGAGCAATGGAAATGCAACAAAGAAACAAACAAGAAAGAAAAATGGTTAATAAGAAGGAGAGAAATGTGATGGCCTCGGAGAATTACTTTGTACTGACCCCGAGGTGCAACCGAACGTTCGATTGGCTGATGAGGAGGAAGGATTACGGCACTTTGTAGCTTTTTACAAGCATTTATTATGTTCATTAGGGGGGAAACTGTTAGAAATCAACAAAGCTGTTGAAAGTTTTCCTTCCCCGCCTTTTTTTCATGTTTTTTACTCTCAGCTTTGGTCAGATAACTGAGAGTAAAGAGATGACAGTTTCACATGAACACATATTTAACAAGAACGCTCATCTCCTAAACTACTAATGACCTCTCCTCCTCTACAAGCCCTTTAATAAACAGAAATAGTACGGTAAATACTAACCCCTGAAACAAATTAATATATGCATCAATTGCAAAAGTGCATTTGCTGTGGGCATTTGCAACTCGTGAAATGTAACACTTCTATAAATACTGTATTATGTAAAAGCTAGATTCACTACTGTCAATATGGTGGAGGGGAGGATGACAAGAATTTATTTGGCAGCTTCGGTTAGGGGGTGTGGGCCGTGAAACAACAACAACAAAACCTGCATCAACCTGTCGTGAATAGCTGCCAGCCAGCCTAAAAACCCAATGAGTGTTTTAAGGAGTGTGTCACGAAAGCCTGCACGCTGCTTTTAAATTCTGCAGAGATTCAAAACTAAACACTAGCAGTTCATGAAAATTCCCTGAATTTAAAGATTTTAGTCATTTTAGTCATTTTCAGTTTAAACCTGCATTAATTGGTGCTTGGCCCCTCAGCAATGATAAATAATTGTCTTGTAATACACATGTGTGCATCAGTATCAGCAATCATTAATGTCTACCTAGTTGTTTGTGGTCACCACGCACTGCTGAGAACACTAGGTGGTTTTTCAGCTGCTAAACTTTCACCTTTGTGAACAAGCTAATCATAATCCAAAACATGGAGCCCATTATACTCAACTGCCCACATTGTTATTGAGTATTTTCGTAATAACATACTTGAAACTATGAGCAAATATCTGTATTTAAATCTCTTTTTGGGCCGATCAAAAAATGTCACAGGATGAGGAGGCTGTGATAAAAAAAAAAAAAAAAAATACACTTCTGCAGTATATGTTCACCTAGAATAAGCAAGCAGGCACTTGTGCACTTGCTGAAATATTCTTAGTCAGATGTGGTATTCTGTAACACGATGATGAAAATGTCTCTCACAGCTGCTCCAAAACATCACTCCCCTTTCCCCACGTTTTGATTTGACTTTGCCTGGTTGTTTATCTGCATGCCGTAGCTGCGGATCACTGACACACTCAGATGCCCTCGGGAAAGTTTAAACCATAACAAAGATGAAATCATAAAGAAAAAAACTGGGGGTTTGTAAAGTAATTTGGCAAGAAAGATAATTGCATGACAAATTTTGCCATTAGTGAATGAAAAGCGAGGAGAAAAGCGTCCCTATGGCTTTCAGCCTCTAGAGGTTCACAGTGACAGCTCTACCTTTTGACATCTTCACGGTCAAATTCTCCTTAAATTTACAAACCAAAGATTTCACATGACTTTAAAAAAGGAATAGGACGACAAGCAGGAAGAAACTAAGCTGTCTACATCCAACATGAATGGACCGGCTGCTTACTGAAACCTTTTTCACTGAGACATGATACTAATTGACCTGTTTGTGTTCAGAGGCACCTTATCAACTCCCGAAATCAAATACAGTCCACAGTTAATCATGATTAGAAGCTAAGTGCATTAATTGCTATGGGTGACTTGCTTCATTATCATTAGTGGTCGCCGAGCTGTGTTGATCTTAAGCCAAATGTGGTGGAGTGTCCACACCACACTAAGTAATAATAGGATGACATTTAAAAAAACTGAGAAGGGAGCGTCTAGCATTCACACATTCAGGTGCAGAAAATACACTAGAACAACTACACATTGTTAAAGTGGGTTTCTTAAAATCTCTAGCATGTATTAATTCATCAATAACTGTTCTGAACACCAGAATGATATCTATAAAGTACAAATGTTGTCTTTGGTGAACAAAAATTCTGTCATGGTCTCCGCTCCTCGTCAGCTGACAGCCGTCAGGTGTTTTGTTTTTGTTTACCTTTCTCTCTCACCTCTGCTCTCCCTTTCTCTCTCGCCCTCTTCCATTCTCTCTTTCTCCTGCCGGGGCGGAGCTCAGTATGGGCTCCTGCCCCTGGCCTACGCACCTGGAGGTGATCAGCACATCTGTCGCTGATCATGAAAGATTGGAACCCTTCTTAAGAGGGCGAGTCTGCTCTACTCGTCGCTGGATCGTTGAGTCATCAGCGTCAGTCGTCCTGTATTTTGTAAAGTCAATTTATGAGCATGTCTGAACCAGGAGACTAATGGGTTTTTTTCTGCCTGTGCATAGATTGCCTCTGGACTTGTTCTTCCCCTGTGCCTGGCGACTGAACGGGAGCAAGAGAGATAAAGGAGAGGAGATGTGCTAGGACTGAATGGAAACTTTCCCTTCCTGGACTCCTGCCTCTTTCACTCCTGGACCCTGGAACCCCGGCCCCTTTTTCCTTTGACACTATTATGTGTATATATGAATTCCACTGTAGGAAACACTGTAAATAAATGCACCTTTTGAAGACACTAGTGGTCTGCGCGTGAGTCCGATCTACGGAACCTGACAGAACGATCCAGCCACAACATGGACTCAGCAGATCAGAATACCATCGGTCAGGCACTGGCTGCCCAAGAAGCGGCGCTGACTCGCCACGAACAAATGTTACATCAGCTGCGAGGTGAGATCGCTGCACTAACTCAAGCTGTTTCCGGTTTGACTACGCCAGGGGGAGTACAGCCAGGGACCTCCCAGCCGGCTCGCCCTGCCCAGCAGGAGACACTCGCGGCGGCTACGGCCGGTCCCTCATCGGCAGCCACCCCATCCTCTGACGGTCCTCTGCCTTCGCCTGAGCCCTTTTCAGGGGAGACAGAGAAGTGCTCTGGCTTTCTGGCCCAGTGTTCATTGATTTTCCGCGAACAGCGGCGTTTTCATAACAATGACGGGGCAAAGATTGCGTTCTTGGTACAGATGCTTCGTGACTGGGCTTTGAAATGGGCCCAGGTCGTGTTAAACTCCAACCCGGAGATCTCTTTTGAGAGGTTTGTGATTAACTTTAAGACTGTGTTTAATCAGGGCTCTGGAGTTGAGGCTGCGGCGCTCCGCCTCCTTAACTTTAAGCAAGGTAAGCGGAGTATGGCAGATTATTCAATCGACTTTTGGATTTTGGCAGAAGAAACCGGCTGGGGACCGGATGCGCTCAGGAGCACATTGTTAAATAACATCCGGGAAGATCTGAAAGATGAACCCACTGCTTTTGACGAATTGATGTTGTTATGTATTAAGGTGGATGAGCGGCTACGAGCTCGTAGGCAAGCACGGAACTCCAGTTCCCAGGAGGCCGCAGGGCCGCGATGGGCGGAGGCTTCGGCCGATTACCGGTCCTCCCGGACATCAGGGGGCGCCGACGGAGAGGTACAGCCCATGCAAATCGGCAGCTCTCACCTAACTGCTGCAGAACGTCAGCGACGCATCACGGCCGGTGAGTGTCTGTATTGTGGTAATAAGGGACACATGATTGCCTCCTGTCCGTCGCGAGCAAAAGGCCGCGCCCGCCAGTGATGGTAGGAGTACTGGTGGGCGGTTTGAATCAGGATAAATCTCCTCCACGTTTAGCCCTGCCGGCTAAGCTTCTGGTCCATTCCGAGTGTCATTCACTTTCTGTGCTTATTGATTCTGGAGCAGAACAAAATTTCATTGACTCTGAACTAGCTAAACGACTCTGTGTGACTGTGGAGTCACTACCCCACGCCTTACGCGTCACGGCTTTATCAGGGCAGCGCCTCCCCGACATCACACACATCACTGAACCGCTCACCCTCACACTGTCTGGCAATCATTCGGAGGAGATTAGTTTTTTTGTTTTTCACTCCACTCAGACGCCGTTAGTTCTCGGTCATCCCTGGCTCCAGCAACACAACCCCACGATTAATTGGCAGAAAGGAGGCATTACGGGCTGGGGAGAGGAGTGTCATATGACTTGCCTTAAGGCTGCCGTACCTCCTAACAAATCTGTCACCGGCCCAGAGCCACCGCGGTCTTCCGACTTAGCAGATGTGCCGTCTGTTTACCACGATCTCGCTGAGGTGTTTCGGAAGGACCGAGCCCAGTCGCTGCCACCCCATCGGCCCTATGACTGCGCCATAGACCTGCTGCCGGGAGCTCCCTTACCAACCAGCCGCCTCTATAGCCTCTCGCTGCCGGAACGGGAGGCTATGGAGAAATATATAACTGAATCTCTCGCTGCCGGCATTATCCGGGCCTCTTCCTCACCCGTCGCAGCAGGTTTCTTCTTTGTGGAAAAGAAGGATAAGACCCTCAGACCCTGTATTGACTTTCGGGGACTCAATAACATTACGGTCAAGAATAAATATCCACTGCCTCTGCTCACCTCCGCTTTCGAACTTCTCCAGGGCGCCGTCATTTTCAGCAAGCTGGACTTGAGAAACGCTTACCACCTGGTCCGGATTCGGGATGGCGATGAATGGAAGACGGCGTTTAATACCCACCTTGGACATTTTGAGTATCTGGTCATGCCGTTCGGCCTCACTAACGCACCTGCAGTATTCCAGGCTCTGGTCAATGATGTTCTAAGGGACTTTATTAACCGATTTGTGTTTGTCTATCTAGACGACATTCTGATCTTCTCTTCCTCCCAGGCGGAACACGAGACCCATGTCCGGCTGGTGCTGCAACGCCTTCTGGAGAACCGGCTGTTCGTCAAAAGTGAGAAATGTGAGTTTCATGTGCCCTCGGTTGCCTTCCTAGGGTACATAATCGAGCGGGGAGATCTTCGACCCGACCCTGTGAAAGTCAAGGCTGTTGTGAACTGGCCAGAACCAAACAACCGTCGCCAGTTGCAACGCTTCCTTGGCTTCGCTAACTTCTACAGGAGATTCATACGGGACTTTAGCAGGATTGCCTTACCATTAACTCAGTTAACCTCTCCCAAGCTTGCTTTTCAGTGGAGTGACGCTGTCCAATCAGCCTTTCAGGAGCTCAAGAAACGGTTTGCTTCAGCGCCCATCCTGGTCCAACCTGATACCACTCTTCAGTTCGTGGTAGAGGTCGACGCATCCGACTCAGGGGTGGGGGCCGTCCTTTCCCAACAGAGGGAAGGTAAGATGCACCCTTGTGCCTATTTTTCCCGTCGTCTCACCCCTGCAGAACGTAACTACGACGTGGGCGATCGGGAGCTCTTGGCGATTAAGCTCGCCCTGGAAGAATGGCGGCATTGGCTGGAGGGCACCACTCGACCCTTCGTGGTCTGGACCGATCACAAAAACCTGGCCTACCTTCAAACGGCGAAACGTCTCAACGCTCGACAGGCCAGATGGGCCCTGTTTTTCACCCGTTTTCACTTCTCAATCACCTACAGACCCGGTTCCCGAAATGTCAAGCCGGACGCTCTCTCCCGTCAGTTTTCCGCTGCTGACGAAAAGGCGGATCCGGATTCCATTCTGCCGGCAACCTGTACTATTGGGGTCATCACCTGGGAGATCGAGGCGGCCATCCGGGCGGCTCAGATAGCCGAACCGGATCCGGGAGGGGGGCCCGTCCACCGACTCTATGTTCCGCGCTCTGTCAGATCCCAGGTTCTGCAATGGGCTCACACGGCCCGGTTCTCATGCCACCCAGGGATACATCGCACCGTCAAGTTTCTCCAGCGGTACTTCTGGTGGCCCTCACTCACCCAAGATACTCGGGAATACGTCACTGCTTGTACGGTCTGTACCCGAAACAAACCATCGAACCAACCCCCGGCGGGTCAGCTCCATCCGTTATCCACTCCTTCCAGGCCATGGTCTCACATAGCACTGGACTTCATCACCGGGTTACCTCCATCAGCAGGTAACACTGTCATTCTCACCATAATCGATCGTTTCTCTAAAGTGGCTCATTTCATTGCTCTGCCTAAGCTTCCCACAGCTCTAGAGACTGCACGCCTACTCGCCACTCACGTCTTCCGCCTGCATGGGATCCCGGAAGACATAGTGTCCGACAGAGGGCCTCAATTTACTTCTCGGGTCTGGAAAGAGTTCTGCAACTCCCTGGGCGCAAAGGTCAGTCTATCCTCGGGTTATCATCCTCAGAGCAACGGCCAATCCGAGCGGGCCAACCAAGAACTGGAGACCGCCCTGCGCTGCGTCGCCTCCACCAATCAAACCATCTGGAGTGAGGAGTTGCCGTGGATCGAGTACGCCCATAACAGCTTGACTGCCTCTGCCACCGGCCGGTCTCCATTCGAAGCTTCCTTGGGATATCAGCCTCCTCTTTTTCCTGCTGTGGAAGGTGAGCACTCTGTACCCTCCGTCCAGGCTCATCTGCGCAGGTGTCGCAGAGTTTGGCGGGCAACTCAAGCGGCCCTACTGCGCACGAAGGAGAACAATAAACGCATCGCAGACCGGCACCGGACTCTAGCACCCGAATACTCTGTCGGCCAGAAGGTATGGCTTTCTACCCGCTTTGTTCCGGTCAGGACTGAATCTAAGAAACTTACACCCACCTTCATTGGCCCTTTTGAAATCTCCGCCTTGGTCAACCCTGTCTCTGTGAAGTTAAAACTCCCTCGCAATATGAGGATCCATGATGTTTTCCATGTTTCACAACTCAAACCTGTCCGGTCCAGTCCTCTGTGCCCTCCTTCCAGGCCCCCTCCTCCCGCCCGGCTCGTGGATGGCTTGCCGGCCTACTCCATCACTCGCATCATGGACTCTCGGCGCCGTGGGCGTGGCTGTCAGTATCTGGTTGACTGGGAGGGTTATGGTGTGGAGGAGCGCTCCTGGGTCCCTCGGGCGGCCATTCTGGATGTGCCCTTGCTCCGGGAGTTTCACCGCCTGCATCCGGACAAGCCTGGTGGGTCGCCGGGGGGCTCCCGTTGAGGGGGGGTACTGTCATGGTCTCCGCTCCTCGTCAGCTGACAGCCGTCAGGTGTTTTGTTTTTGTTTACCTTTCTCTCTCACCTCTGCTCTCCCTTTCTCTCTCGCCCTCTTCCATTCTCTCTTTCTCCTGCCGGGGCGGAGCTCAGTATGGGCTCCTGCCCCTGGCCTACGCACCTGGAGGTGATCAGCACATCTGTCGCTGATCATGAAAGATTGGAACCCTTCTTAAGAGGGCGAGTCTGCTCTACTCGTCGCTGGATCGTTGAGTCATCAGCGTCAGTCGTCCTGTATTTTGTAAAGTCAATTTATGAGCATGTCTGAACCAGGAGACTAATGGTTTTTTTTGTGCCTGTGCATAGATTGCCTCTGGACTTGTTCTTCCCCTGTGCCTGGCGACTGAACGGGAGCAAGAGAGATAAAGGAGAGGAGATGTGCTAGGACTGAATGGAAACTTTCCCTTCCTGGACTCCTGCCTCTTTCACTCCTGGACCCTGGAACCCCGGCCCCTTTTTCCTTTGACACTATTATGTGTATATATGAATTCCACTGTAGGAAACACTGTAAATAAATGCACCTTTTGAAGACACTAGTGGTCTGCGCGTGAGTCCGATCTACGGAACCTGACAAATTCAATTCAATTTACTTCTAATTTATTTATATAGCGCTGCCAAATGACAACAATAGATGCCTCAAGGTGTTTTATATTGTAAGATAAAGACTCCATAATAAATAAATAAATATTTCCAGGTAGGAAAGAAGTGTTTTTGCTCATTATTTTGTTCATAATGATGTTGATAATGTGGAATGGTACGAGGAAGTTAGCTGCATCTAAATGTTCCAATTTTCATGACATAAATTTATGTTTTATTAATCCAGAACAGCCATGTTTTGATTGCAAGGGCCACTGCTCATTTTTGTCTAACATGCACACAGAGATCATTGCTAGTTGGTCTCTTTTTATTAGTTGTTTATAAAAATATATAAAATGAACTATGTGCATGTAGTCATAACTAGGGCCTCCAGTGAATGAAAGGCTATAGTGACATGCATGTTCTTAGGCCATGAAGCCCTCATGAAGTAACAGCTCGGGGGGTTTAGACAGATTGACAAAATACTGGACTCTGATGCAAAAAAAAAAAAAAAAGCTGTTTATTTGTGCAAATGCTCAATTACTTTAAGAACAAAAATGCCCAGAATGTCAACATGTGTAGGAAGCCTCTATCCTGTATCCTTTTTCACTTTCGGTGGATAATTTCTGAGGCATTTTCAGCGCAACCATCAGCGTGTGCACCCACAGTCATGCCAAAAAGGGAGCAAACAAGCTCACAAATCTATTATCAGACACATAAACAGGAGTGTTTTAAAGGCAGTGGGCTGGCAGTACTGACTGCACTCACAGGCCAGAGTGCTGTCATTTTGCCAGGAATACAACTGCGATAGGGAAGATTAACCTAAGAGATGTAATTGTAGAGGTGGAGGAGTGTGCTTGTGTGTGTAGACAGTGAATGTGTAAGTGGAGGGCTAGGATATCTGTGTCTCTGTTTAATTGCCATCATCAGCATGCTCTTTTGTGTGCTCTGCCTCATCAGATCTGTCCGGCTACAAAACAGTGAGTCCTCCTCTTGATGTTGCACACATCTGGACTCTGAGACCGGCATCAATACGACACTAATGGGGCGCCTTTTCTCTCTTTAGCTCATTATGGAAGAATCATCATTTGACTTACTGGGGCTACTCTGGTTGCCAAGGACAAAGTGGCTGTGCTGGGAGTGTTGTATGTGAATACATGAAGGAGTGGATGTACGTACGTATGGATTGGGGAAAGAGATACAAAATGAAGGAGAATTTTGTGCGTGCACAAGCAAAGTATGGGAGATGGGTAAATAGATTTATGAGGCAATAACAAAAGAATAGAAATGAGCGATTGGTGGAAAAAGGAGAGTAGCAGTGGAAGCAAGGATGGAGAAAGAAATTGAGGAAGCAAGGGGTATTAAAGGATAGAATCTGAAGAGATGGATGGATGAACACTGGCAGGAACTGCTACATGCGGATAGACAGATGAAGGGAGTAGTAGATATGATAATAAAAAAAAAGAAAGAGGGATTATTGAGTGGAATGAAAGGAGTGGGTGGTTGGAAAAAAAGATGGGATCAAAGATGAACAATCTGTTGGATGCAAGGAAGAATAATAATTTAGTGAGTAGTTTAATGGAGGGATTGGCAGAAATGGGAGGGCAAGAATTTACAGAGCAACCAAAGATGTGAGGTTGAAAAAAGGAGAAGGAGTGGAGGAAAGAATACATAGGCCACAGCCAAAACAAGGACAACTAATCTAAGGAATATGAAAGAAAAAATGGGAATCTCAGCAAATGAACTAATGGACAGGAGGACAGATGGATGTTTGCGGGGATTGAAAGGATGGATAAAGGTACTAACAGAGCTAGGATGAGTGATGCATGAGTTCTCTGATGGATAGAAGAGGTACAGAATGAGCACCATTGATCTATATACAGAAAGATGGATGGAAATGGAGAAAGAGACTGCAAGAACAGGCTATAGAGCAAAGAAGGGATTGCAGATTCTTGATAAGAAAGAGATCACAGCTTAAAGGAAAGGCTGGAGCATACAGTTGGATGTGATGTTAACTTGTCTGCATTTCGCATGTGTGACAGTCATGGTTCAAGTGAATAAGGTCCCATTCACACAGGTTAACAAACAACATGGCAACCACCAGTCATGAGGGGAAAAATGTGTTTCATAGCAGTTGCTGGAAAATCAATTGCTAAAGCCCCAAACACACAGCGACCACCTGGCAACCACTGGTTGCCATGGAAAAATGTGTATTCCCAAACTGTGAGGCACAAAACCTGCTTAAGATTGCTGTGGTCACCTGTAGCTTGCATGAATCATGACGACTTGTCTACAAATACTCGCCAGCTGCTCTCTGAGTGGTAGCGAAACTGGGAAAAGTGCGACAAACCAGAAACAAAGGCCGCTTGTTCCTAATGCAAAAAGTTGCATCTTTTAAAATGTGTCGGCCGACTTTTACTTTGAAGGTAGGCAATCTCAGTCTCCAGTTTGCGTTGCACTTTTTCAAGTTTTTTCTACGACTTTGCTTGGAATTCATGGGTATTTTCAGATTCAGAGCTCCTTTAGAGAACTAAGCTATTACAAGTCATCTTAAGGAGGATATCTGCAATCCATGTTATTGTTATTGCAAAAACTTCACCAATTTTTTCAGTCTCATGGTGCCACTGGAGATCAGGAAAATTATTAGGTCTCATCAACCACACTGTTCAAACAGATAAATAAAGACAATCTGCAGGATGTAAGCTAGAGACCATACAGCGACATGCTCAGGCAATAAAACCTCAGACTACACCTGCCGTTGAAAATATCAGAAACGGGTACAGATACCTTATATAGAGGGCTAGAAAGAATATGAGTCAAGGGTGTAAAGTGGCCAATCACCTTCAAACTTAACTTTTATGTGATTTAATGTGAAACTTTTGCGACTGTATGCGACTATGACAGAGCTGTGATATCCCTGTATTGGCAAAATCAGTTCAACACACACACATACACAGAAATGCGATCAGATAGGACAAAAAGGATAAGTGGAAGGCTGAAGATGTGGACATAGAGGGAAGGAAGGAGGGTTGAGTGATGTTCATCTGTTTCCTGCAATCGTCCAATCATGAAGAGACATTATCTACTGTACTGAGCACAAGTCATCAGTCTTCATAAGGCAGACATTTGCATTTGTGAAGATATCGACACCCGTACTGCACATCATTTCCACACACACACACACACACACACACACAAAGCGACTGTGAGAGAAAACGTGGTGCACAGGAATCTCAGCAGACAATCTGAGTGTTTCCTGCAGCTCAGAGTGATTCGTTAAATAATAATGGTTCAGGATTGCAGCTGAGTGGCCACCGTCTCCGGTCTGCACCGCTACTCAGCTTGCACCAAACACACGCACACAATTGTCAGCCTGTGAGAGAAACAAGATGACAAAGACGGATGCTTCAGCTGCCTTTATTATGTTTCAATATGCAGGCTGTGTAACGCGTCCATCATCTTGTTATGCTGTATCCATGTTTCTGACGGTGTGGAATCGGAGGGAGTCAAAATGCTGAGCACACACCATGCTTCATCTTCTCAGGCAACGCTGCTAGACTGAATGAACTGATAATTTAACTGAATGCTGGATGATTTCACTTGAGCATCCTGATAGAGGTCTTTCATGGATGAAAAGTCATGTTTTTAATCTTGCTGCGCTAATTAATGCCGCTATGAGTAACATTTTGACATAAACAAATCGTCGGCACATTAATTTTGAAATATTATAGTGATTACTGTAAACAAATACAATCATTGGCAAGAAGATTGGCACACCCTACCACACACAACACTGTGCTTAAATAACATGCAGCAGGCAGCTGATGGTGGTCTGGTTTACGACAAATGAGGAAGAGTTTTGTGTTCTCCCATCTTCCTATTTATTGCGTGTAATTCATCTTATATCATATCACAGCATATAATATGTTGATTAGAGATGCTGGTAACCGTGAATACAACAAAGCCAGCTTCTCCTCTCTGATCCCACTCTTTCTGCTAATATAGGTACAGTAATGATTAAAGTGGTACTCACTTGGTAGAAAACACTAATTATGGGGATTTCCCCAAAAAGCCTAACTGTTTCTTTAAACATTTGTAGGAGGAACTGATCAGTTGCTAGGTTCCATATTTGGTTTAATCTGCATCTCTAGATAACGGCTGCTTGGGAAAGCCCACAAAGCCCCAGACAGTCTGCCTCGGGACACACCAGAGCTTGGGACGTTTTTTTATATTAACAAGAGTCTTGTTCCTCTCACTATTACTGCCTTATCATCTCTTTGTGGCCTTTCCCTGTCTGTCTCTGGATCTTTGCCTTCAATCCTTCGAATGTTTTCTTTAACATCTTCTTTCTGTGCCTCATGTGCACATCTACCTCTGTCTTTATTTTCTTGTTTTCTTTAGCTATAATAACTTGGTAGGTGTGAGGTTTAAAAGGTAGTGATTTTAACTGATTTTCACTGTCATTTTTTATCTATCATTTATATTTTTATAAGGGTAAAACTAATTGAAAAATTAGGGTCACCGGGCTTTACAGTCTTTCTGTCTTTTTCACTTCCTTTTAAATTAAAACTAGACTACGTAAAACTCAATGCAGGTTGGATCTTCCTGTTGTAAGTAAAAAAGAAATTTCATGATTTTACATAAGCTACATTCAGCTCTTCCCTTATTCAAAGGGGGTCACCATAGCAGGTAGCTCTGCGTGTTTTGCACAACCCCTTCCCGACGCAACCTCAAAGGGATATACGTCTCCTCCCGGGATTGAAATGAATCTTTCATTTGTTAGGCAAATGTTTGAACTAGTACACTAATTTCCTGCTTTTATGTATGAAAACAATTTCTAAGACTTATTAGAAAGATGTTCTGGTTCTGGATCAGCTACTGGCCAGCTTTACTGATATTTGGCATCAAAGATATCTCACAGAGTCCTGGATCACTAATATAATTTTGACTGCTTCGG